TATCCCAGGATGGAGCTTTTTGGGGGGGATAATTTTAGTGCCATAACCACCGACGTGCCCAGGCCGGGGTTCTTTGAGCAGCAGGTGAAGGTGGAATTCCAGGTGGAATTCCAGCTCCTGATGCTTACACAGCTCCTGACTCTTTCCTTCCAAAAAAACTGTGGCTTCTAATACCAGGAAAACACTTTTCACTTGTTAAAAATTGTGTAAATTCAGGAATGTACCCAAAGATCAGCTCTGGAATGTGGAAGGGATGGATGGATGGAGCTGCAGAAAGGAAGGAGAAGATGCTCCAAGGATGCTCCACTTGCTTTTCTCCAGGAGATACTGGAAATCCTGGATTTTAGAGCTGCACCAGGCTGAAAACTCATTCCCAGCAGAGAAACAACTCCTCTTAGATCCCAACACCACAGCGATTTATTGTTTGTGTGTTATAAAAAATAAAATAAAATGAAATTTAAAAAAAGTAAAATAAAATATAATATAATACAAAATAAAATAAACTTTTAGAAGTAAAATAAAATAAAATAAAGTCAAATAAAATAAAATAAAGTAAAATAAAGTAAATAAAAATACATAAACAAAATAAGATAAAATAAAGTAAATAAAAATACATAAAATAAAACAAAAGTAAAATAAAGTAAATAAAAATACATAAAAATACATAAAATAAAATAAAGTGAAATAAAGTAAATAAAAATACATAAAATAAATACATAAAATAAAAGTAAAATATAGTAAATAAAAATACATAAAATAAAATAAAGCAAAAAAAGTAAATAAAAATACATAAGATTAAACAAGTAAAATAAATAAAATATATAAAAATACATAAAATAAAATGAAGTAAAGTAAATAAAAATACATAAAAATACATACAATAATAAAAATAAAATAAAATAAAGTAAAATGAAGTAAATAAAAACACATAAAATTAAAATAAAATAAATATATCTTTTGTTCTATCATTAGCTCTACTGCTCATAATTTGGGCTGGATTTGGATCAGCAGTATAGAAACAGCTCCACCTTTCCCCAACAATCCTGAAATATCCTCTTGGAGTCATAATTCACCCTTTCTGGAGACTGTTCCTTCTCCCCTCTCACTCTCTCCTTTCACAGCTGAAGCTCATCCCACATTTTTGGTGCTTTCCCAACCATCTCCATCATTTGCCTGCCTGGCTTTAGACACGTGGGGGCTTCTACACAACTTATTTCCAATATTTCATCAGCAAAGGGCAGGAATTTCAACGTCTTCCTAAATAAGCCGCTGGAAAAAGACCCTTGAACCCTAAAAGGATGAAGAACCAGAGACCCCAAAGGATCTGGAGGCCCTTTTAGGTCCACCCTGGTTCTTCCTGGTTTGTTCTCCCCCACCACAGCCTGCAAGGGGATGGAGGGACCCACCTACAACAGGCAGTGGTGGCATCTCCACACTCCTCTGAAGGAAGAAATTCCAACACATATCAAAAATTCCCAGAGCCACCTCTCCTACAAAGCTTTAGAGGAGACCCCCAGCTCCCCACAGCCCTTTGCAGCATCTCCTTGAAGGGCCTCCTCGGCTCCTGGGGCTGCCAGGAGCCTTCTCCTCATCTGGGTCCTGCACTTGGGCCACAACAACCCCCGGCAGCTCCAGGCTGGGACAGAGGGGCTGGAGAGCAGCCAGGCAGGGAGGGAGCTGGGAGTGGGGATGGACAGGGAGCTGAACAGGAGCCAGAGTGTGCCCAGGTGGCCAAGGGGGCCAATGGATCCTGGCCTGGAGCAGGAACAGTGTGGCCAACAGGGCCAGGGAAGTGATTCTGCCCCTGGACTCAGCGCTGGTGAGGCCACCCCTGGAGTGCTGTGTCCAGTTCTGGGCCCTCAGCTCAGGAAGGACATTGAGGTCCTGGAGCAGGTCCAGAGGAGAGCAACGAGGCTGGGGAAGGGTCTGGAGCACAATTCCCATGAGGAGAGGCTGAGGGAGCTGGGGCTGTTCAGCCTGGAGAAGAGGAGGCTCAGGGGAGACCTCCTCACTCTCTCCAACTCCCTGACAGGAGGGGGGAGCCAGGGGGGGGTTGGTCTCTTTTCCCAGGCAACTCTCAGCAAGACAAGAGGGCTCAGGGTCTTCAGCTGTGCCAGGGGAGGTTTAGGTTGGAGATTAGAAAGAATTTCTTTGCAGAGAGGGTGCTCAGCCATTGGAATGGGCTGCCCAGGGAAGGGGTGGATTCTCCATCCCTGGAGGTTTTTAAGGTGAGACTGGATGTGGCATCAGTGCCATGGGCTGGGAACCACGGCGGGGTTGGATCAAGGGCTGGACTCGATGATCTCGGAGGTCCCTTCCAACCCAGCTGGTTCTATGATTCTATGATTCTATGATTCTATGATTCTATGATTCTATGATTCTATGATTCTATGATTCTATCCATCTCAGTGCTTTTTAGAGCAATGAGTGTCCTCCCAACCCCCCCAGACAATCCCAACTCACTCCAAAAGGAAACATTAATATTTAAGGAAGACAAATTGCTCCAGGTCCAACCTCATCCATCACCGTGGGCTCCCTCCTCATCTCTCCTGCTGGTCGAGCTCCACGCTCTGCTGCAGACACCAATCTCCCTGTCTAATCCCATTAAGCATTCCCAGTAGGATTCCTGGGAGGGGTCTCCACCCCTCTGGAGCATCATCTCCCTTTTTTTGAGGAGCACTCCAGCCCTTTCAAAGCACCTCCTGGCTCCAGAAGGCCCCCACACCTGGGCCATGCTCAGCCACACTGCCCAGATGCCAGTGGAGGGGACTTTTGGGCAACAAACCTGGACAAGAAGATGGATAAAAGCCCTTCCAATCCCTCTGCACAGGAGGCAACACTTTATTTAGCAGTTTATTCCAGAGATAACAGAACCAAGGAAGCCTCTTCTCCTCAACAACACCAGGAAAGCCACTTCCATTTCCCTTTCCATCCACAGCAAATCCTCAGCTCCATCCTGCTCCCAGACCTTCCTATTGGGATTGGGATGGCCAAAGACAGGAGCACAATTTTGGGGATGTAACACCTCCTCAAACGGCTCTGGAGGGCTGGAACAACCTTCCAGAAGAGGAATCACAGGGAACAAACAAGCAGGATGAAGGAAACCACCGCTGGGGACTGTTAAATCTTCTTTTCCTGTTTATACCCAAGCTCATGAAAGATGCCCAGTGTGCCCAGTGTGGGCACAATCCTGGGCACCCAGGAACAACAAATAAATCACAGGGCCAGTAAAAAAAGATCTGAAATTTGCTTTTAGAACAACTAAAAGCAGTGGATTTGCTGTTCCAAAATACCTGCTGATCCCAGATCCTCCTCCGGGTATACCCAGACAGCTCAGAACAAATCTTATTTAAAGAGGGGGGAAAAAAAGGTTTTTGAGCAAAAAATGAAACTCCCTGATGATTCTGTTTTTCCTACCCAACGAGACACCACTCAGCCAAGTGCAAAAAGCAACACAAACCACATTTTTGATGGCAACAACAGCATAAACACACGGGGGTATTTCAGACAGCAGAGAGAAGAAAGAAACACAGGCTGCCTTCCAACGGAGCAGGATTTTGATGGAAGGCACCAGTGGCTTGACAAACACTTGGAAATATATCTGCAGTTCAAATAAGACACTCAGAGAGTGGATTTCTTGGAAAAAAAAAATGCTGGACGGCCATCAAGCTGAACGTTAAAATAGCCAAAATCACAGAATGTGCTGAGCTGGAAGGGGCCCACAGGGATCACCCAGTCCTGCACAGGCCCAGCCCCAAGAGTCCCAGAGGATCAGCCAAACCCTCCTGGAGCTCTGGCAGCCTTGGGGCTGTGCCCACTGCCCTGGGGAGCCTGGGCAGTGCCCAACCAGCCTCTGGGGGAAGAACCTTTCCCTAAAAATACAGGTGGGAAGTGAAGGATGACCCTCCTGGTGCTCGGTGGGCTGTGATGGTGCCTCAACGTGTGTAATGAGACCTGCAAACAACTGGGGAGACTCTCAGGAAACCCAATTTGTGGTGACACATGAAATACGTGTTACTTTACAACAAGATTTTTTTTTTTTACGTCAGAACCAACAGCACAAGGCCCCATTTCCACCACACACCATCGAGTTCGAGCAACCCGGAATTCTGACAACACCATGGGATGGTTGGAGAGGAAAAGGAAGGGAGTTGGCGGCTCTGCCTTACCGGGAGGTGGGTGAACACGGCGAAGGTGCTGCGCAGGAAGCCGATAAGATCCACCAGGTAGTCGCTGGCCCTGCTGCCCGGCTCCAGGGCCATCCAGTCGTAGTCTGCCAGCTGCAGGAACTGGTCGATCTTCTGGTTGAGGTTGGTGTAGATCTCCTCCTCGGCCGCGTGCCGGGCGTCCTGCGGGGGAAACGCTGCGTGGGGTGGGGTCTCCACACCACAGATCCTCACAGGGATTCAACCATCCGACCCAAAGGTGGCACAACTCAAAGCTCAGGGAGCACCCATGAGGCTGCTCAAGACTGGTGGGACAGGTGCCACCAGGTCCAGGGGGATTCTGCCCCTGAAGGAACCTCGGGACAAATCTAGTGGAGGATGGAAGAGGAACACCCACCAAACCAAAAGGTGTGGGGTGCAGGAGGCCACAGAGGAGACCCCTCTGCCAAAAAAAGGCAGGAAACAGCTTTAGGCCAAATTGGTGGGTGATGCCAGAATGGACTTCCCTGAGGACAGGAGATCTTAGTCTCCTGCTGAGTTATCCCAAGGGTAAAGCTCACCCAACCAATTCCCTGCTGTTCCCATGGGACACAATTCAAACACCCCACACCTGACTCATCATGGCCTTAAGATTCCATGTAAAGTATGTGTGTGAACACTCCTGGGGTAGGGTTTCAAGATTGGGAAGTCTGGGAGTTCCTGTCAGCCTTGATTTTTAGGGAACACTGCTAAAAGGAGTGGAAAGGTACAGAAATTTAAAGCTCTGGAAGTCTGTTCTCCTCTGGGGCGAGGAGATCATGGCCAGACATGGGGTCACACTGCGCTCAAACAGCAAAATGAAAATTTGTTTTAAAAATAAATAAATTATCAGGCTTTTGATCAAAAGCATTATTATTATTATTATTATTATTATTATTATTATTATTATTATTATTATTAATATTGTAATCCTTTAGATAATCAGGGTTGTAAATCAAGGCCACAAACTCTCACGATCTCGACAAAAGCAACGCTCCGAAGGAACCCAAAAGTGACGTCACAAACTTCCCAAAATATGACCAAACCATCTCCTGGCCCAGCCCAGCTGCCTAAAACTCCAAATCCACACTCTCCAGCAGCTCCTCCTGGAGGTGGAGCCCCTGGATTTCTCACCTTGAAGGTGGTGGTCCCGTAGAGCTTCGTGGTGTGCACGGTTTCCGGCAGCACGTTGGTGATGTTGGTGATGAACTCCTCAAGGAACTTGCAGGATTTCTCCAGGTGGGTCGTGTTTATAATAATCTGCACGAGCTGTAAAGGCAAAAAAAAAATAAAAAGGGGGTTCAACCGTGGTGCTCACGAAGCCAGGGAGGTTAAATCCAAGGTTAAATCCAAGGAATTCTGGCGTGAAAAGCTGGCGCTGTGCAAACACAGCGAGCTTCGCTCCGCACTCAAAGTGTCTCCTCCTTTACCAACAGCAGAAACTTAAATAAAAGGTAATTTGGGGGTGAAAGCCTTTCCCATGACAGCCACTGATACCACGGGAGGTAATTATTTCTAATGATTTTTGTACACTCAGCTGTCACTCGGGGCTCGTGTCAGCCCTGCCCAAGCACGACAGGCCTCCCAAAAAAAAACTGCCCTGACAAAACAGAAGGTAAAAAAATGTCTTCTGTCTGCCAGTGAACCCTAAATAACCCACACCTGGAGTGACACCCAGCAGCATCACACCGAGGCAAAACAAAGAAACCACCAGGTTTGGCTTTTGGGAGGGTGCTGGTGGCAACCAGATCTCTCCCAGACCCAGAAGGCATCATAGTGCTGGATTAATTCTAATTGCTGTAGAACTATTATTAAATGATAATTGAATTGCTGGAGCGTGGTGTGGTCGTCTGGAGCCGCCTCCTCTACAGGAATGGTTTTGAAACACCCACAGATCTGAATGGGATTGGATTAATCAGTGATTTAAGTGGTTTAGGCACAGGAACACTGAAGTGACGCCACAAAAGATGACAGAGCCCAACTCTTGGCGGTGCTGGATGACACGGGAAGGGTGATGGTCACATTAGGGAGGTTCAGTGTGGTTATGAGGAAGACAAAGTCATTAGGGAGGAGGTGCAGGACTGGAACAGGGTGCCCAGAGAAGCTTTGGGACCTCTGTTTGGGAGAAAGGAAAAGTCAGGTAAGAAAGCCACGGCTGGCACGATCCAAGTGAGCAACGATCCCAATCCCAGCGGGAGGTCGGAGCAGAGGAGACTGAGGGGAGACCTCACTGCAGTTCATCTGCCTGGGCAGGGGCAGAGGAGGGGCAGGGACTGAGCTCTGCTCTGAGGGGAACAGGGACAGCACCCAGGGAAGGGCTGGAGCTGTGTCAGGGCAGGCTCAGGTTGGATCTCAGGGAAAGGTTCTTCCCCCAGAGGCTGGTTGGGCACTGCCCAGGCTCCCCAGGGCAGTGGGCACAGCCCCAAGGCTGCCAGAGCTCCAGGAGGGTTTGGCTGATCCTCTGGGGCACAGGGGGGGACTCTTGGGGCTGGGCCTGTGCAGGGCTGAGGGTTGGACTGGGTGATCCCTGGGGGTCCCTTCCAGCTCAGGATATCCCGGGATTCTGTAACACCTCAGAAGTCCCTTCCAGCCAACACTTCTTCGATTTCAGTCCCATTTTTATTTTTAAAAAATCAAATTATCACCTATTTGAACTCCTTCTGTTTTTTACCTGCTCCATGAAACACCTTACAGGGGTAACTGGGAGTGTTCTCACCCCTGAATTCCTCAGGTTAATTTTTATTCTCCAATTTTTGCCTCCAAACAAGTGCTCGTCTGTGTTTCCCCCGTGCTACCACAATCAGGATGTATTTTCCTGCAGTTCCAAGTCAATTAGACATTTCCAACTGTCTGAAATTCCTCCTAAACCTCTTCCCTGATCATCAGAATGGTCCAGATCAGCTTGAAATCACAGCTTTGAAAGCTCTGAATGCTCTGATTCTCTTCCACCACTTGCTATGAACCTTCCTGCTCCCTCTGAGGCTCCTTCAAATTCTGATTTTCTCTTCAATTTGGAAGGGTAAGACCTTGTTGAGCAAGACCTTCTTGTTGTCCAAGACCTTCCTGTTGGGGGTCTTTTCTTAAGGGAATCCTTAAGCTTGGAAAAGACCTCTAAGATCACCAAGGATTTGAGGAATTTTTGAAGGAAAACACCCCGTGCTTCCATTTGGCCAAAAGATGGTTTCACAAAGACAAGAGGAAGGAAGGGATGAAGATGCTCAAGGTGGATTTTCTTCAACCAAATTAGGAAAAAAACAAGGATGGGAGAGAGAACCCTGGGAGAGAGCAAGGAGCACCTTGGAAAGTGAGTGAAAATATGGCCAGAGATGTAAATTTATAGTGTTGAAAAAGCACTGAACTCCCCAAACTCACCTCCCCAATTTCCCAATCTCATATCCTAAACTTCCCAAACTCCCCTCTTAAACTCCCCAAGCTCATTTCCATAGGGAATTTACAGTGTCCAGAGAACAGGACACGTTCCTACAGTTCAGCCAATTAAACTCTAATAATATCTACTTATTTAATAACAACACAGAGGTCACACCACCGTCTCCATCTGCCTTGGGGATCCCATGTTCCCACAGAACCACGATTTATGTGCATTAAACTCGTCAGAAATCTGATTTTGCCCAGAAAAAAAGCATGGATCATGAGAAGAGAATCCCAAATTGTGTTTGTGCTGTAACAATAGGCAGAAATGGCTTTAAATGTCACCTTTAGATGGGTCCACTCACCCACTCCATCCTCTCAAAGAGTTCCCACTTGGCTTTCCTAGTGTTGCCTGAGCTCCTCTTACTTTAATTCAGATACAGAACACTCCTCAAAAATCAAAGGAGTGCAAAACTCAAAAACAGCAGCAGAAAAGCTCCTCTTTCCCTCAACACAAAGAGTTTCCTGCTCCGTGGTTCCATCGCTGTTTTCCAACCGAATATTTCACAATAACGCTCCAAACCCCTTCTGTCACCCTGCCCTGGAAATCATGGAATAACAGAACAGTTTGGGTTGGAAGGGACCTTAAAGACCATCCAGTGCCACCCCCTGCCATGGGCAGGGACACCTTCCACTAGCCCAGGTTGCTCCAACCTGGCCTTGGACACTCCCAGGGATCCAGGGGCAGCCACAGCTTCTCTGGGAAATTTATTCCAGTTTCTTACCACCCTCCCAGGGAAGGATTTCTTTCCAATATCCCATCTAAATCTTCACTTTTTCAGTGGGAATCCATTCCCCCTCATCCCTTGTCCCTCTCCAGCTCTCCTGGAGCCCCTTCAGGCCCTGCAAGGGGCTCTCAGCTCTCCCTGGAGCCTTCTCTTCTCCAGGGGAACCCTCCCAGCTCTCCCAGCCTGGCTCCAGAGCAGAGGGGCTCCAGAATCCTGGAATGGTTTGAGTTGAGACTGTCAATCCTGCTGATTCCACACCCTGCCATGAGCAGGGACACCTTCCACTAGCCCAGGTTGCTCCAACCTGGCCTTGGACACTTCCAGGGATCCAGAGGCAGCCACAGCTTCTCTGGGAATTCCATCCCAGCCCCTCCCCACCCTCCCAGCCAGCAATTCCTTCCCAATATCCCATCTATTCCTGCCCTCCAGCAGCTGGAGGCTGTTCCCCCTTGTCCCACCACCCCAAACCCACGTCCCACCTCCGTCAGCCCCACGTTCCTCCTCTTGATGACGGTCTGTAAACAGTTGCTCAGGGTCCGGGTCAGCAGCAGGTTCGTGGATTTCCGGATCATGTCGTCGACCTCGGTGGAGCTGGAAAAGGGGGGAATTGCAAGAGAGGTTTGCAAAATGGGCCGTGAAAGGAAAATCACCTTCGTCCTCCTCCTTCCCAACACTCTCCTGCATCATCCATTGTCGTCCATGCAACACTTACAGCTCCTGATATAGTGATATATAGGCAAATTCCAATTATTTAGGTCAGGAAGGGGGACTAACATGTCCTAAACCTGAGCCTCAGATACAGAACATTCCCCAAAAATCAAAGGAGTGCAAAATTCAAAAACAACAGCAGAAAAGCTCCTCTTTCCCTTAAAACAAAGAGTTTCCTGCTCCATGGTTCCATCGCTGTTTTCCAACCGAATATTTCACAGTAATGCTCCAAACCCCCTTCTGTCACCCTGCCCTGGAAATCATGGAATACCAGAATGGTTTGGGTTGGAAGGGACCTTAAAGACCATCCAGTCCCACCCCCTGCCATGGGCAGGGACATCTTCCACTAGCCCAGGTTGCTCCAACCTGGCCTTGGACACTCCCAGGGATCCAGGGGCAGCCACAGTTTCTCTGACCAACCTGGGACAGGGCCTCCCCACCCTCCCAGCCAGGAATTCCTTCCCAATATCCCATCTATCCCTGCCCTCTGGCACTGAGAAACCATTCCCTGTGTCCTGTCCCTCCATGCCTTGTCCCCAGTCCCTCTCCAGCTCTCCTGGAGCCCCTTCAGGCCCTGCAAGGGGCTCTCAGCTCTCCCTGCAGCCTTCTCTTCTCCAGGGGAACCCCCCCAGCTCTCCCAGCCTGGATCCAGCCCTCGGAGCATCAGACTGGAAGCTCCTACCACACATTCCTGCCCTTTTCCAGGTGGTTGCAACTTCAGCATCTCTGGAATTTGGGGGTTTGTCTTTGTGCCCCTCCAACATGTGGCTGGTGGCACCTCTCCTTTCCAAAGGAAGTTTGGGAAACCCACCCTGCCAGAGGCTCCTTTGATCTGCCCTTGGCCCTGCATTAACCCTGACACCACGGGTTTTGCCTCCAGCAGGAGAGGGCACAGGGAATTCCCCCCGGGAATGCTGAGACGTGTTAATAACTTGGAGGCTCCCGGTAAATCGAGCCCCTGACCTTTGGCTCCTGCTCCTGCTCCACCTGACAAAGGGGCCATGGCACAAAGCTGGGATTGACAGGAGAGACAAAAGCAATCCCTGAGGTTTCCTCGCTGCTGGGGGATGTTGGGATGCTGCTGTTGGAGTTCCTGCTGGGCTGGGAACGGGCGCTGCCCGCCCAGGTCCTGCTCCCACTTCCCAAATTTCTGTGCCTGTTTAATGCTGGCTCGGTGCCTCTGCTCCAAGTGCTGCTCCAGCAGGGCCTGATGCTCAGGAAGGCAGGACTGAGCCTCCTCCAACAGGGATTCTGTGCTCACAGCAGCTCCTGGAACTGCTCATCCTTCCCATATTCCGGCATCACTCAGTCAGCTCCTTTTCTGAAGTTATTCCAGCCCTTCCTTGTGCTGCTGCCTGGGAATTGCACTCAAATCCCTCAAACTGGGCCATTCACTTCAGAGTTGGGCTCTGTGGGTCCCTTCCAATTCTGAATATTCCTCGATTCTGTGAAATTCCCGGGAGAAGTGGCAAACACTGCTGCCCACCCGCATCCCTGAGCAAAGCCACGACCGGAATTCCAGGAGAAACCCATGTCTCCTGCTGCCTTTTCCCAAAGAAAAGCCCAGCTGCACAACCCCCCCTGCCACGCTGCACTGCCCAACAGGTTCCTCCAACATTTCCTTTTCCCTGATGTTTAGAAGTTGGCTTTTCCAAGCTAAATGGTTCCACTGTCTGCTTCCCAGTCGGACCAGCAGCTCCCGAGAACTTAAATCCAAAGTCAGCAGCCAAAATCTCACTGTGGGTCCCTTTTAGATCATCACTGATCCCAGGGAGTTTATTTTCCTCCTGCTATCCCACTTCATGTCCCAGAAGGATCCCTTGGCTCCTTCTCCCGGGGTTTTGATGTGTCCAAGGTGATGCATTTGGGTTTTATAAAATTATGGAAGAGAAGCCAAAGGCAGAAGGGAGGAGAAGAAACCAGCAAATGGGTTTTCCTGGGCTCTATACTATGGGAAGGGCTCTCAAAGAAGGTTTTAGTCAGAGATAAGTCAAAAAGAAAAATTCAAACACAACCCCAAACCCAACCATGTCACTCCCCCCAGGTTGTCCATCATATTCCAGGAAAAACCAGAGATCCCAGTCCACCCCACCAGACAATACAAGGGTCAAATACAGCCAGAGCAGCAAAATCCAACCCTGGTTTGGATCTAGGTAAAAAAGACACCTGAGGAGACTGAAAGCAAAGGGGTGATGCAAAACCACCTGTGACACTGGAGGGGGGTGGGAAAACTGGGAAGGGGGTGGGGAAGCAGAAAGGGCTGGATCCATGTTCAGAGGGGTGAAAAAAATGTTTAGGGAGCAAAAAATACACAAAGCTGAATCCTGGTAAAAACACTGAGGGACTGGAGAAGGACTTTGGGATGGAGGGACAGGAGAAGGGGTGGTGGACTTAAGCTAAGGAGGGTGAGTTAGATGGGATATTGGGGAGGAATTCCTGGCTGGGAGGGTGGGGAGGCCCTGGCACAGGTTGGGCAGAGAAGCTGTGGCTGCCCCTGGATTCCTGGAAGTGTCCAAGGCCAGGCTGGAGCAACCTGAGATAGTGGAAGGTGTCCCTGCCCCTGGCAGGGGGTGGAATGAGATGATCTTTAATGCCTCTTCCAACCCAAAGCATTCCATGATTCTATCATTTTCCTTAGGAAATCCTGAAATGAAACACACAGGGAGTCACAGAGGGTGGTGAAGGTTGGAAGTGCAGGTGGTTCCTGGAGCTCCAGGGATCGACTGGAACCCAGAAAGCCCAGATGAAAACCCTGGGATTTGGACACAACGTCAGTTTTTCTCACTAAACCAACACAGCAACTGAACCTACAAGGTTGGAAAAGCTTGGGTTTAAAACCCAAATGTCAACCTGTCATCAGGGAATCCCAATCCAACACAGGGCTGTGGGAACGCCCTGGGATTGTCACGCTCCCGGCAGGATCCGGGTGCTTCTGCTCTGCCAGGGCTGTGGGGTCACCAACCCCTCAGCTCAGGAAGGACATTGAGGTCCTGGAGCAGGTCCAGAGGAGAGCAACGAGGCTGGGGAAGGGTCTGGAGCACAATTCCCATGAGGAGAGGCTGAGGGAGCTGGGGCTGTT